CATTTTACTGTCTAAAACTGTATCGAATAGAAAACGTATAGCCATTCACGTGGCACTTGAAAAGGAGGATCTATGAAAACCCCTTCCCTGAGTTCTCATAGGATCTTGTGTGTGTTGGCTGTGTGTGAGTACAAAATTTGCGGAACTTTCTCTTTTCTTTTAATTTTTTCATGCTTCGCAAAAGCTCTTTCTCGTTTCTCCAAAGATACACTGTTTCGAAAAACCGCTTCTTGAGGTCCCAAATTTCATCCCCCTTTTGAGTTTTACTTAATGGGTTTTTGGTTCAGTCTGGTATCATTTAAAAGGTATTGATGGATAGGCTCCATTGAGCAAAACAGCGAACGGTAGTGGTCGGGAGTCACAGTCAAAACGTCGTAGAATCGGCCCCTTATGGCGTTTACTGTTTTCCAAGACAGAAAACGCGATAAGGGCTCGATCCTTCTACATCTTGCCTGTGAGTCCCGACCACTACCGTTGCGCTGTTTTGCTTCATAACTCCGTTCAGAAATCGTTTAGCAGATTAAGGATTTGAGATCAGCGTTCGAAATAACATCTAGGCGTATGCATATCTTCTTGAAGTGGCCATGGCGACCTGGGATCCTTTCCTTGTTAGGCAAGATTCGGTCTGGCCTGTGCAGAGCACCACCCCATGCAAATAGCGGCACTTACAGCGTCTCTTTATCATTATCACTGTTTTGAAATTTTTTATATTGTATAGTATTGAATTCTACTTTAGTTATATTGTTCCTTTTCAGATATGGGCACTAGCGGACACGAATCGGGACGGTATGCTTGACGTTCGAGAATTCTCCATAGCTATGCGGTTGACACGAAATTGCCTCGCCGGTCTTCCATTACCTCCCACTCTACCTCCATCTCTGATGCAAGTGCCAGTCGGAAGTGGTCCACCACAAGTGCAACCGCACATGAATGCGATGCCACATCCGAATGCTGTGTATACACCAGGTTAGACAGAATGTCTTCTGGCTCGAATTTTGCAACGGCGACAAAATTCAAGTGGATGTGCTTTGAAATTTCACGGAAGCATGTGTAGATGTGAAATGGAGCTTCTTCCTCATGAATTAAACTGGAAGATATGCGGGAATGAATAATTCAGAGGAAATGTGGCTGTTGCTCCCGAGAGGGTGCGGAGTAATGTTTGGATTGGCTTCGACAAAAATCAAAAGGGCATTTGCCTTTGATCGATCCGTTTTTTGGGATATTTTGGGATACGCAGCGCATCTATTTCCTTTCGGGATCATAGTGGCATTTGAACACGACTAGCCCAACGTTATTACTTGTGAGATGCAGCCGATATAGAACTTATCAGTTTTTATCCTCACAGACGTGTCAGGTAGCAAAAAGCCGACACTAAAAGGTCGAAAGCCCGGTTTGTCTGAGGAGGAGGGGGGTGCTATGAAATTTGGCTCTCAGATCGTGTCAGTGGTGAGTGGCATCCTTCGCCACTACACTACTTCTTTTTCTCTTCGAAAATTATGGAATCAAAATCCTTAGCTTTAAGCGAACAAGAGGTGAAGGGTTATAAGGCAGTGGTGCCTATAATAGTGGGATTAACTAATTGCAGTTGACATAGCCTTCTGTCTGTGGCGAAATTCATGCGTTGAGTGACTGAATATCCGTTCTTTTCACCGCCTAATATCGATGCGGTCCGTGAGCTTATAAGCAGAGCACGTATAGCTGTGGTCTATAAGGTAGCTGGGAAGCGAGACGACTTCGATTGGAAGACAGCGGAGAGCGAAGAGTGAGGGAGTGGTCCGTGGTGCGCGCAGGGACTTGGGAATGCAGTGAGAAAGAAGTTCAGGTGGGCTTTCGAAATTCGGAAATCATTAGGGGAGTATCACCAAAAATGCACCTATCACCTGGTTTCAAAGATTAAGCCTTCTTGAGGACGAGTAGGAGATCGAAGTTTTTTTTTCTTTCCGTAAAACATCGATTCGAAGAAAGTCGAAGTCGCCATGCTAAGTTGCGTTCTCGTTCTTTGAGCTCCCTCCTCTCTTATGATTTTTAAAGTTCACAAATTCAATTCAAGTGGCGCCATTTACTGCGAATACATTGAAGAAATGACGTAGTAGGGTTTACCGCAAAGCCGGCCCGCTGATGTCGACATGAGAAAGTTTGTTTACTAAGACTTCCTCAAGGAAGATTTCGTGGAATAATTGAGAAATGAGGGGACCCAATTCTTTCGTAATTCAAAACTGGCTCAAGAAAGCGAACGAGTCAAACTGTTGGCAGTCCTGATCTCTGCGTTTGGTTCCTTGAGTCGTCGTGAATTTGCTAGCTATTCATATTCATATTAATGGCCATCTCGCGCTTTTACAACTGAGGCGCGATTGACCTATGCTCTTTTATCTTCTCGTTAAAGGGCTTGAGAGCCGTTCTTCTGACCAATAGTCTTCTTGAACCCATTTTTACTTGTAGCTAAAATGGAATAGAATTGCTTGCTTGTCTGCTGACAATCTGCTTCGATAACGGAGGATATTCGGTTTTGTACATACAGAGGTGGCCAAAAAAGAGACCCTTAGCCCATGGCGCACATCATCGAACGTTTCGTCGCACATGGGAGCCGATGTTAATGAAAGTTTTACGGCGGAATATTCCTTAGTTGTTCCCCCGTAACAGAAGCAGGCCCTCCTTCACTGCCCCCGCCGTCTTCAGAATATGACGTCATCTGCCGTCACCGTCGAGCTCAACGAGGCTTACCGTAATCGCTCCGACCTGAAGCTGCTACATAATTTTCCTCAGTGATTAATTGTTGAATAGCTTCCCAGAGACATTAGCTGTGAATGTGCAAAACCGCTTTTGACCTGCGTTTCAGAGACGTCGTAATCGTCTATGGTATCTCAACGACCTCGTTGAGCTCGTACCGCGCACAATGCTTCCGTGGAAATCTTCTGATGTCGTCGGTGTAGAAGGCTGTTGTGTAGCTTGTTGATAGATTATAACGTGCTTTT